TGCAGCACGTAAGAAACGGTAGAAGAATGAGACAGATCAGTTGATATACCAGTCTTGTAGGTTATGAAACATCGCCTTGTTAGACTCACTGAGCTGGTTACTCTCACTTCCCGCAAACAATTTTATACAGGCAGAGCTGTCAATCTCTTCCAAGGCAACATTAAGTCTGCTTTGTAAGATCTATGTATATTTATTTGCTTATTTTTATATATTATAGTGTAGAGTTCTGTTGCCAAGCAAAGACCTCGAAATAAACGAAACAAAAGTCGTTGCTAGACAGAGGCCAGCGCGTCAGTTGACTGGCTGGAAAGTAGTATTTCCTGCTGGGTCCGCGCCGATGACGGTGCACTCAACAATAATTACAACAATGACAATGGTGTTCTGTATATATTTCCCGTAAACTGTGATACTAGGGCCAGTAGGGAATGTCCTAAGCGTGGAGGCTGAAGATTGTCCATTGTTAGAAGCCGTTGCCATGGAATGGCTGTTGAAGCCACAGCAGGCTAGAGAAATCTTAGCGAGTGCTGTGGTAATTTGTGAATTGTGAAGATTAGCAGTGGTGCTGTAATTACTTGTAGTTCCGAGTCGTGTGTGTAAGTTGCTAATAAATCCAGTCACCAATCCAAACCCCGTCTATAATCACACGCATACATGTGGCAGTACTTATCTATTTATCTGTTTGCCTGTATCTGTATTTATTTGTATTTTTATTGGTTATTTTTACGATCTAGAAAACCGAAATTAACGGCCGTGGGGATTCATTGCGCTGACCGCGCAACACCCTCTATCTGCCAAAGTTTGCACTAACTTCGCCGACAAGCGGCCTGTATTAGTGTCGAATAGTAGGAAGAGCGTAACGTTTGGGGTTTGAGGTTTTAGGTTTGGGGTCCTCACAGTTGTGTTTGTGAGGGTTGTTATCTTCTGAGATGTGACGCCCTGGTTCTGTGTGCTGCGGTAAAAGTTTACGTTTCAGAGGAACTTTCTGCTTCCTTCTTCTGGGTTTATACTATGAAGATACAGGGCATGGTGTTCCTCAGAAACGCCTGTGAACATCTGTCAGACAACACGGTGTCATATCCTATACACACACTCATGGAACTGAGCCCTTCTTGAGGAGCCGTCAATTCTGCAGCTACTCAAGAAATTCCCAGCATTTTATGGAACCTGAAGGTTCATTACCGTATTCACAAGAGCCCTCCACTGGTCCCTATCCTCAGCCAGATCTATCCAATCCATACCATTCCACCTATCTCTCTAAGATCCATTTTAATATTGTTTACCAACCTATGTCTTGGTCTTCCCAGTGGTCTCCGTCCTTCCAGCTCCTTTATGCATTCCTCCTTTCCCATTCGTGCTACATACCCTGCCCACCTCATCCTCCTTGACTTGATCATTCTAATTATACTTGGAGAAGAGTACAAGTTATGAAGCTCCTCATTATGCAGTTTTCTCCAACCTCCTGTCACTTCATCTCTCTTTGGTCCAAATATTCTCTCCAGCGCCCTGTTCTCGAACACCCTCAGTTTATGTTCCTCCCTTAATGTCAGAGACCAAGTTTCACACCCATACAGAACCACAGGCAGAATTATAGTTTGGTATATTCTAATTTTTATGTTTCTAGACAGTGGACGAGAATACAAAATATTCTGGACCGAATATCGTATAAGATATCATTATTTGGTAGGGCTAAAGAGGTGGAATTAATTTAATAAGTTATTAATAATGACTGTAAAGTCCGTGATACAAATGTAGGTAGGTCCCAGTACACGGAATATGAGCGGAAAATAGTAAGGAAAATCCTTTGGAAGCCTCAGTAATTATATCCGTTCTCCGGACCGAGATTTGAACCCAGAAACCAAAAAATACGGAGCAGGAGCCATGTGCAATATCTTCATATTGTTTCTGTGGTCCTAATTAAGCAGCCCACTTTTGAGTAACAAAACTTGTGGAGTTCTGTACGGAAGCGAAACGGCACAAATTGCGGTGCTATTTTCACGTAAAGTGGAGAATCGCCTAGAGGACTTAACGTGATGATCGGCTTCTGAAGGACGGCGCTGCCCATCGAGTCAGTTTCTTTTTCATTGGCGCTACAGCCCCAATTTGGGCCTAGGCCTACCTTCATGAAACTCTCCGTTTCACTTCGGTTAACTAGATCTTAGACATACGGTATGACTCCTTGGGCGGGTGATCAGCTCGTCGCAAGGCTTCTACCTGTACACAAACACAGAAAAACGCACACAAACATCCATGCCCTGAGTGGGATTCGAACCCACGATCCCGGCTTCCGAGCGAGCGAAGACAGTGCACCCCTTAGACCGCTCGGCTACCGTGACCGGCATCGAGTCAGTTTAGGTAATATAATATAATGACGATTTATTTTATTCATATGATCAAGAAATTGTGACTTCGCTTCATTTTTCATAAATAATATTTTCTTTTAATCTTCCATCCTTAAGACGAAAATGTAGTAAGTAAAGAGGTTAAAAAAAGTAAAGGTATCCCTGTAACAAGCCGTGAAGGCCCATAGGGTTGTGAGACGTCGAGGTTCCCAAATTTTCTAGAAAATCGGCTCACAGATAGCGGTTAGGTTGTCAGCCTTACGCGCTGGCCACCTTTTAACCCCAGGAAGATTCCTGATACTCATTTCTGTTAGAGGCCGAGTCGACCCCAGGGTCAAATTGCGTCTGGAATGATTAGGTGAATTGAAAATATCCACCTGATCGGGACTCGAACCCACGACTTTCCGGCTTGTAACACAGTGCCTCAACCAACTACGCTACCGCATTCCCCGACGTAGCAAGCAACTGAACACAGTTCTATGTCGCGACTCAAATGTTTTACTTTCTCTCTCTGTTGATCTATATACGCACAGCCAACTTCTACCCTTTACATTCTTGTTCCTTTTTGTTATTCTCTCCATATTTATCATTGTCTCTCATTCCGTTACACACACTCGTGTCGCACGATAGATAGTCTTTTGTTTCTTTGTTTTTTTTTCTTTCCCCCTTCTCTCGTGAACAATAAATGTCAGTAGTCTCCACGCCGCTTTTACTTCTTCTTCTTCCTCTCTTTCCTTCCGCCCTTTTTCGTATCTTTATTTCTATTACAGCCATCATCTTTCGTTGTCAGTGGGTACACCCTTTTCCTCTGTCCCGCCTGCCTCATATGTTCACGCGAAGTTCTGTTACGTCTGTCCCACGAAACGTAATATGGAGCAGGCCGATCGGAACCTAACACGTCAGAGTTCCCTTCGGGTGTTGCCTGGGTTCAATCTCAATAAGCATAACCGCGCTATGTGGTGTCATGCCCCACTTGTCTGTTTGCGCTTATGCACACGCCTTGGCGTTCTCGGGTGATGCTCCCCTGGTTTCATTCACTTTCTCTTTTGATCCCAGCCAAATTCCCGTAAGAAGAATGTTAAACTTTTGTGTTTAAACTGCGTTTTCGCAGACTCACGTCTGTTCCGAATTCGCACTTCATTTTTTTTATCCGAGTCGTGTCAACGGAAATTCCACATCTGGAGGGCGTCTCCTCCATCCGCAACTTGAGGACGCACCATGCCGTGGTGACAAGGGACCCAATTAACAGAAAAACAGATAGAAAGCTTAAGGAAGGTGAAGGTAAATTGTCTTTTTTTTTTTTTCTTGGCACTACAGCCCCAGTGGGCCTAGGCCTACCTCCATGAACTTCTCCGTTCACTTCGGTTTTTCTAGATCTTACACATTTGGTAGGACTCCTTGGGCGGGTGATCAGCTCGTCGCAAGGCCTCTACCTGTACATAAACACAGAAAAACGCACATACACAAACTAAACATCCATGCCCTGAGTGAGATTCGAACCCACGATCCCGGCTTCCGAGCAAGCGAAGACAGTACATGCCTTAGACCGCACGGCTACCGTGACCGGCGAAGGTAAATTGTCCCTGAACTTAATTAATTAAGCTCAGCTCTATGAAGAAGTATGAAGTGGAGGTATAGCTCCACTATTCTTGACCTCGGTGCTACGTGGAGGTGAGTTGTCAGCTTCTTTATCCCCGGTGATAGGGCCCACAGGACTCATTGTATAAGAGGCTGGGTGGGCCCCAGAGCCGTTTAGGACGTTGTGGAGAAGAGAAAAGTCTTGTTCCTGTCGGAAATCGAACCCATGGTCTCCTAGCCCATAGCCCGTCGCTATGCGGACTGTAAAATTTCGCTTCCAAGACGGTGAGCTCAAGGAAATTGGGAAACGGCTTACTCTGTTTAAAAAGTTAAAGGACTAGTATCGCTTATAGGATACGTATTTGCATTTACATTGTTGTCATGTTAAAGAGATGTCAGGTTTGTGGTATGAAGCAACCCACGTTTCTCTTTATGTTGCACTGTTTTCATTTCCCTGAACATAAATTCTCCTCCATTTTACGTTTAATGTACATGGTCTCTTCAGAAGTGGAAACTCGAGGTTTTATTTAGCGCTCAAATTTTATCGAAAAATTCTCAACAAATGTCAATAGAATGGCCATGAACAGGTTTCTGACAACAAGTATGTAGGAGGACACAGTAAAGTTGATAATCATCCGCGAACATGTGTTTGTGGCTAGAAAAAATTAAATATGATACGTTTGCCCGTGGCATTATGAGAAATTAATTACTTTATTATTTAATCTATTTATCGGTATAAGTTGTAACAATAAAGAATGCAGTCTTCTGGGATGTGTCGCCGTGTAAATATTGTGTAATCCGACGTTTCGGAGGAATTTATCTCCTCCATCTTCAAGGTAGAAAAATCCGCAATAGAATAACCAGCGTGAACAGGTCGCTGCAGCCACCTGCTTACGCTAGTTCCTTGCCCTGAGTGGATTCGAACCAACGATCCTGGCTTCCAAGCGAGCCAAGACACTCTAAGACCGCTCGGCTACCGTGACCGGCCGGTAGATGAATAGCGAATAATAAAAGAATGAGAGGGTCTGGAAGTCAAACTTGAGGTCCTGAAGTATCATATCCGTATTGTGTTGTGTCTTGCAGTTCAATGTCCAGAGGTCGCTGGAGCACCAACAGCAGCCGTCATCATCTGCCTCATCCCTGCCACCCAGCATCGACGTGTACCATGCTCACCATTCGTCTCACCATAGCAGCGCCGGTTCAGTCAGTTCTGGCGGTGGAGGAGTCGGTAGCCCGGGCTCGCCACCGGTGTCTGTGTTGCGTCACAAGGAGGAGGACGCAGCAGCGGGGGGAAGCTCAGGGGAAGGTACATACCAAGACATGTTGTGTTGGACGCTGCATACACATTCGGACTTACTGTTCTAAGAAACTTCAACGGGATGTTTTTAGAAGACACAGTCAGTCAAGATACTTAACCTCAATATCTTGAAACTTTCTTGAAAACCGACCTGGACATAAGAGGTAGGATAATATTAAAATTGATTTAGGATAGGATGGGGCTATATGGACTGGATTAATCTGACTCAAGATAGGGACCAATGGAGAGCTTTTATGAACACTGTAATGAACAATATGTTCCATAAAATGTTGGGGAAGTTCTTCAGTAGCTGGGCGACTGGAGGATTCTGGAGAAGGACTCAGCCCCGTAGGGTTAGTTCTAGAAAGATAGCTATATTTGTTAACATTACTATTTTAATTACTCTTCTACCCTGAAGATGGAGCCAGCAGGTTCCTCCGAAAATGTTGATGAAGGTCAGATTAAAGTGGCGTGACATCCCAGAAGACAGTAATTTTCCAGTTTTATCCTGAAGGTACCGTTTTCGAATTCCAACCGAATTACGGCCCTCCTTCATCAAGATTTCCGTGGTTTCCTCCAGCAGTTCCATTCCAGTTTCTGAATAATTTTTCGTAATAAACCAAGATTAGCTCTTTATAAATTCTATTGACCACTCCTCATCTTCTCACCTCAGTCTATATATATATAACCAAAGTAGTTAAAGCTCCAGGGCAAAGTATTTTCTTTTTTTACGTTTTCCTTATATTTGTGTTTACATTTAAGTCATAATTTGTCGGCCACAATCCAACTATACGAATACACAGAAATCTTCCTTCAGGGACACATGTTACACCACGTCACCACGTGACTTCCGTTGCCTTCAGGACATGCATTCTACCACATTTATCAGTCTTCAAGGACCCACAATCTACTACGATTAAGAATCGGTCATTGTCTTCAGAGATGCCGATCGCAACACATCAATCAGCTTCTGTCCTCAAGCAACAGGAAGACACCGAAGAGGTCACTCCAGTTGCTCACAGAAAAGTACGACAGAAGCGTGTAATTTAGCATGGATTGGCCAGGGAGGCTACACGGAGAAAGAAAGTGTAATATAAGATTGCATCATCGCCGAAAGCCTGCTGAATTTTGCGGATTGTTTCCGCTTGGGTATCCCCAAGTTTCTGACAAAACTTAATGCAGTATCGCTGCTCCAAGCTTTCTGTCATCTTGAGCGAAACGAGAATGCGACGAACACGTGTTACACCACTTCGCTATCTGGCAGCCACAGACGCATCCAGCGGTGTTGCGAGTCAGCAAAAAATCACGCATGCGCATGAAAGTCCCTTCTACCGCTACGCTGTTTCCCCACCCCTTTGGCCATTACTTACAGCGGCAAAAAATGAAGTCGGATACTTTTTGGACAGCGGTGTATATTATCACGATTAATGGATGTTGCATGACATAAGAAGGGTTTTGGATTGGATTTATTGACCACTAAGGCCGCGCCATAGCTCAAGCGGTTAGTCGCTGGCTTCCCACCGCGGCGGCCCGGGTTCGATCCCGGGTCTGGTCAAGTGGGATTTGTGATGGACAAAGTGGCGCTGGGGCAGATTTTCTCCGAGTACTTCGGTTTCCCCTGCCAATCTTCATTCCACCAATTGCTCCACAATCACCCTCACCTATCATCTTGGGCTGGTACAATAGGCCAGAAGTGGCAGCAGTACAAGGGACTTAGTCCCACCCCACTAGCAATAAAAAAATAAATATTGACCACTAATACACACAACTCGGAACTACAGGCAATACAGCGCTATTGCTGATCTACACACGTTACAGTTCAACCCTGCACACATACTAGGGTTTTCAGTCTTCACTAGGCGTGTCCTAGCGATGGATTTATAACAGTCTCACTGTAACTTCAAATCTTATAAGAAGACTTCTTTGCACAGTCTAAGTTCTTCTTGCCACTTCTTCTCAATCACCGTCTACTGCCGACTCTTTCAGTTCTGATCCTCTGCTCCCAAACTCTTATCCTGGCCGGTTGGTGNAGTGGCGCTGGGGCAGATTTTCTCCGAGTACTTCGGTTTCCCCTGCCAATCTTCATTCCACCAATTGCTCCACAATCACCCTCACCTATCATCTTGGGCTGGTACAATAGGCCAGAAGTGGCAGCAGTACAAGGGACTTAGTCCCACCCCACTAGCAATAAAAAAATAAATATTGACCACTAATACACACAACTCGGAACTACAGGCAATACAGCGCTATTGCTGATCTACACACGTTACAGTTCAACCCTGCACACATACTAGGGTTTTCAGTCTTCACTAGGCGTGTCCTAGCGATGGATTTATAACAGTCTCACTGTAACTTCAAATCACATAAGAAGTCTTCTTTGCACAGTCTAAGTTCTTCTTGCCACTTCTTCTCAATCACCGTCTACTGCCGACTCTTTCAGTTCTGATCCTCTGCTCCCAAACTCTTATCCTGGCCGGTTGGTGTCTTGAAACCTAACAGATCGTAGGATTTGCGGTTCCCACAGCGATTGTTGTGAAGAGTTCTGTCTGCCCTATAGCTCGTTGAAAGTGAACCGACATTTTGAAGGAACATCTCATCTCCAGCTTTAGTGTTGAAAAAGCTGTGCAAGTTACCCGTGAAAGCAGGTCTCAAGCAGAGTCACTCAAACACATTAATAACCAAGAAATGTCCTGTCTGCTCAGGAAATGTCCGAAATATTTAAAAACTTTAATCCGGTAGCAACGGAGAAAAAGAAATTCCGTAAGGAATAAATCGTATTGAACCAGAAAAAAAAACACACTGTAAGAGAAATAAAGAAATTAAAGACCGCACCCCCGAGATTCGTCACTGTCACCGCAGGGCTCTGTGTTCCTGCAGTTTCTCTCTCACGCACGGCGTTCCTCAGTGTCCGTGTCACTGGGAACTACAAGCCGGGCGTCGGCGGGCGTGCCCCCTAGGACTGATGTAACGTAGCTGGTTGAGGCACTACGCTACAAGCCGCAAGGTCGCGGTTTCCTCTCCCGATTAGGTCATTGGATTTTTCAATTAAACTAATACTTCCAGCCGCACTATGGTCTTAGGGTCGACTCAGACTCTAACAGGAATGAGTACCAGAAATCTTCCTGGAGGGTAAAGGGAGGCCAGCGTGTAAGGCTGACAAACTTACCTCCTTCTATGAGCAGATTTTCTAGATGTTAGAGCCTCAACCTCTCACAAACCTATGGGCCTCCATAGCTCGTTACAGGGATAGTTTTACCTTTCTTTTTATCCTCTAGATTAACCCCGGACAGCTCATACCGAAACCAGCTCCCCAATAAACTAACAAAAATTACCAGAAACTTCACTCGGGTTGCCGTCTGCTTTCACAATGATAACTTGTTCGGCATATTCGGCGTATTGATATGTTTCTCTGAAACGTCGGTTGACTTTCGGACGGAGGACACGGCGTTATATTCCAGAAGATGCTCTCTTCATGAGACAGGTCTTTAGGTAGTCAAATTATATATATATATATATATATATATATACTATATGTTTAGCATCAGTTGCCTATTCTTCAAACGTTTCTGGTTTTGCAGGGGGTCCACCGGGCCTCGAGGAAGACGAAGACGATGATGAAGAAACGGGAGGCACGACGGGCCCCGGGAGCAGGGCGCAGTACGTGTCTGCCAACTGCGTCGTGTTCACACATTATTCAGGAGACGTCGCGTCAGTGGTCGACGAACATTTCTCCAGGGCGCTGAGTTACGCGGAAAACAAGAGCAATTCCTCGACGTCTACGCAGGTCAAAGGTAAATTTATCCGACGTGTATGCGTCGGTTCAGGTGTCTTTTCAATACCGTGATATCTGGTGACATGCAGAAACTAACAACACTGCTGAGCTGTGGCTTATGTGAGAACAGTTGACTACGTTTTATATAAAAAAGTCCTTAGGATTCAGTTTATTTTCCGCGATGAGGCGGAAGTGAACATTTTAGTATTTTCGCAAAGTGGGGGGGGGGTGGAGCCTAGCTGGGTCCACTCGGCAGGGCGGCCACTGATTGGCCTATTGTACCTGCCCCGGGTGATTATGATGATGGAGAATTTGGTGGAATGAAGATTGGCAGGGGAAACCGAAGTACTCAGAGAAAAACCCGCCCCAGCGCCACTTTGTCCACCACAAATCTCACTTGACCAGACCCGGGATCGAACCCGGGCCACCGCGGTGGGAAGCCAGCCACTAACCGCTTGAGCTATGGCGCGGCCTTTCTGACAGTTTCATGACAATTAAAAATAATGTCCGAATTATAAGTAAGGACAAATTATATATGTGAATCCGGTAAAATATTTCAGCCACAGAACACAGGTATGACACGTATGGCAAGTTCTAATGGGGATTTCAATGATGGGCAAGTCAAAGCAACCGGGTAGCTGTGGAGGAATGAACACTGTGAAGATTTTAACGCTTTAGTCACCTGCTAAAACGGGCCGTGCCCTAGCTCAGGCGGTTAGTCACCGTGCTTCCAACCGCGGCGACCCGAGTTCGAGCCCGGATCAGGTCATGTGGGGTTCGTGGTGGACAAAGTGGCACTAGGGCAGGTTTTCTCTTAGTACTTCGGTTTCCCCTGTCCATATTTATTCTATCAATTGCTCTAAAATCACCATCACCTGGGGCTGGTACAATAGGCCAGTAGTGGCCGCACCCCACCAAGAATAATAGAAGTAGGTGAGACAACGTCCCTAATTGAAACTGCATAGGTTGGTATATAGGAACACACAAACGGGAGGTGTCAGTTTTCTCGCAACCGACTTAACCGGTCAGACATATTTCACTGTTGTCCGGTGTTCAGTAACCAACAGTATCGAGCAAGAGACAACTTAGCTTTCAAGGTGACACAGTCTAGGTGAGCTGTGTATGACGAAGTATGTAGAGCATCTTCGCACTGCAAGCACTAGTGTAAGGTCAAGTCCTTCAAACAGGCGTACCAAGGCTGCGAACAGTATAGGAGTAAGCCTTCTGAAACCTATCACAGTGGCTTCGCAGTACAAGGCAGGAACCGTCTGCGCCCGCTGGCAGACTTGGGTCTTGGGTTCGCATCCCACTCGAGGCATGGATATGTGTGTGTGTGCGTTTCTTCTGTGTTTGTGTTGTTCTGTGTGTAGGTATAGCAAGTGTCACGTAAGTTCGAACAAGGCCAAGAGTAACCTTGAATGCGCAGAAGAGAAATTTCAGACAAGGGGGGTGGGTTCGAGGGTGTGAGAAGTGACAGGAGGCCAGCCATAGAGAGAAAGAAAAAAACATTCTCAAGCCTAATGCTATTAATACGATATTCCTCTTATTTATTCTATTTCTTATGATTTTCTTTTATATTTATTTGCATTTATTGTGTATTTTAATTTATAGTCTATAATACGCCACTGCTGTCGGCGGACACTCTAATAAATTAATTGAATTCTAAATATTTCTACTGATGATAATTGTAATACGAATTTATCACTTCCCGTAATTCTTACATTTAAAATTATCTGTCTTCCTGTGGGTAAGGTGGCACGCGGTAACGTTTTTGGTTGAGACACTATGCTACAAGACGGAAGGTCGCGAGTTCGATTCCAGATAAGGTACATTTTTCTTAATTGACCTAATCATTTCATCCGCACTATGTCCCTGGAGTCGACTCAGCCTCTAACAGAAATGAGTACTAGGAATATTCTTGGGGTTATAGGGCGGCCGGCGAGTAAGGCTGACAACCTCATCTCCATCTGTGAACCTATTCCCTAGAAAATGTGCGAGCCTCGGCGTCTCACAACCGCATGGGCCTCTACTGCCTGTTACAGGGACAGCTTTACCCTTTGTCTTTTGAGAATCGGTGTAGACACACACAGACAACATTTACTCGGTTTCAAAGCGATTTTATTTGATGACGAAATGAATTTCATTGCCTCATGACGCCGCAGGTATTTTTGCCAATGACGACACATATAGACACTACTTAGGAACTTGCGTTTTAGTGATTTCATTTATGAAATTTGTCACTTCTCGGGATTTTTCTGCATATTTAGAGAGTAAGCCCATGTCCACTCTGACATTTTGCCAGAATTTAAATCTCACACCAAACGAATGTAGGGAGCAGAAAACAGCAGGTGAATATACAGTGAATTAGTAAAGAAACGAAAAATGGGACGGACGTTTGTATGTGACACCGTGTTGACAAGCGTGGCTCCCGGCCCGAGAGTTATGGATGTACTGTCCACCCTATTAATTTCGCTTTCGTTGTTATCTGCTACTGAATGTACTGTATGTACTTCAGTAATTATGTGATGTGAACGTATAATTCATCCTAGTGTAGAAGGTTGTATATTTAGAGGGGTGCGGAAATAAACAGTTGATTGTGTATTGTACCACTGGGAAGTTTTATTTAAAATTCCTCTCATTGTAATTGCAATTTCGATAGGAAGGGTTATAAAATGAAAGTTTTTTTTTCAAATACTTTCTCGCAGGTACATAATGTGAGAGATATAAATTATAATTTGTAATATTGAGCAACGCCGGTCATGGTAGGCGATCTGTCTGAGGCATGTATACTGTCTACATTCGCTCGGAAGCCGGGATCGTGGGTTCGAATTCCACGAAAGACATGGATGTTTGGTATGTATATGTGTTTATTCTGTGTTTAGGTAGAGGCCTTGCGACGGGCTGATCACTCGTCCAAGAAATCCCACCGTATGTAAAATGATCATGAAACTAAAAATCAGAGGTCGGGTCCCCAGGGGGCTGTAGAGCCAGTGAAAAAAAAAATATGATTTCATAACAGTTAGAGTAACAGAAACGACAAATTCACCATAAGATCACATAATATCTGCCGGCATGAATGAAGGCAACTCTTATGAAGACTTATAAACAGGTAGCGCTTCACGGAAGAATTGTGTATTTTTTGCTTACATTTTATTTATTGACGATGTAATTAGCTGAGTTTATATAGCATCGAATGGCACGACGATCAGTGAATGCTGAATTGGAAAGAATGTGGAAGAAGACAGTCATAACCTGTTTTAAGTTATTCTGGAAATTGCCTGCAGAAAAATAGCGAAAACCTTCAGTTAGAAAACCCAGTGTCCCTGCCAAGATTTGAACCGAGCACCTCCTGAATGTAAAACAGAATCATTACCGTTTGTGTCAACTTACTTGGTTAAGAAATGGTACAATAAACCTACTGTATATGATCACAGCATATGACCGGGAGCGAGAGTTAGTGGACAATTTGCAGTCAATAACATATATATATAATAATATATATAATATATTACATATAATGTAATAACATACACCAGACAGTAAAAAGATAAAAAAAAAATCCTGTAACAGGCCGCGGAGGCCCATAGGGTAGTGATACATCGAGGCTCACACATTTTCTAGATAGTCGGCTCGCAGATAGCGCTTAGGTCGTCACCCATACGCGTCTGCCACCCTTAACCCCCAGGAATTTTCCTGGTACTCATTTCTGCTAGAGACTAAGTCGACCTCGGGGCCACAGTACGGCTGGAAGGATTAGGCCAATTGAAAATATCTACCTCATCGGGACTCGAACCCGCGACCTTCCGGCTTGTAGCACAGTGCCTCAACTAATTACGCTACCGAGGCGTATAAACATTATATACAAATCATTCACTTGAAAAGGCACGAGCTTGACACCGTAAGAAGGTCATTGCAGCAAAACTAAAGGATATAGAATTTATTTCGTTCTTTTTCACCTATGTAAGTCATACACTGGGTCACTGTAATATGAAATACATTATTTATTGTATAAAATAAAATTTCGGAGCAATAAATAAAATTTAAAACGTCACGTGACATTTGCGAATGTCCGAGCGTTTGTTCCCGCAGCAAATGTGGACAGTTTCAGCAACAGAGAACCAATAAGTTCCGATCTGTTTGGCCATTCTTTTGTGTATATGTTGCTCATAAAGCACATAAGCCCGCCGCAAAAATTCCGTGCCTCTTGTGCTAGAACGAATTTTAATTAATACTGCTGGCTATCGATTGTTTCGACTTCATTTGACAACATCGCCTTTGTTTACAAAGGTTTGTGCTGGTGATTCCAGCACGAATTATTTTATCACCTGACCTGCGTCTAGCTGTCGGTTATGAGTTCAAGCTATTACTGAGTTTAACTCTTTAAAGACTAAATCTCTTCTAAATAATACATAAAGCACCAGTCCGTACCTCACGGGAAACACATTACGTCTCCGCTACAGAGCCCAGCCGGTTAATGCTGTTTAGGGAAACAGTCGCTTTTTGTTGTGAGAACCATACGGAACACACAAATACACTTGTGGTCAGATTGCAGAGGTTTAGTACGTTGAAGCGGGTGGTATAATAATTTACCACTGCCCTTTAGACGGTTAAAATGGAGATATGTTTTGAGTATTTAATTTAGGAATAATTTTAACAAGGAAATATGAATTGTGACACCAGAACGCTACTAGGTTTTAGGCTGGAGTTCAGATTACATGTGAGAAAAACAAAAGAACAAGGAAATATGTACAAATACGTATGTAACCTAGTCAAACTATTCATTATTAGCCCGGGGTTCTGTACGGAAATGAGATTTTACACGACTCTGCTACAGTCTCTCTTATAACTTTTTTTTTAATTCGCTTAGTGGGGGGTGGAGTCCAACTGGGTCCACTCTGCACGGCGGCCACAGATTGGCCTATTGTAGCCTGGCCCGGGTGATTATGATGACTGAGAATTTGGTGGAATGAAGATTGCTTAACACCTGTACCTAACGCTCATAGGAATACACATGCTTCA